ATATCGGCGGACACCAACGCACTTGCCAGAACTTCCAATACTTCTGTCAAATTTAATATCTAAAGATTAATTTTCTAAGGCCGAGAGGCGATTTACATGCTTAAGTCGGTTTAAAATTCGATTCTAATGAAAAAAAAATGTATATATATATATATATATATATATATGTATATATATAATTTATGGGAACTCTGAAGCTCTCTGCTTTCTGCGGGTTGTTGCGAACGTTCTAACAAATTGAACAAAATGAACATTCCCCTATCCATCGGCGTTGGCCGTAGAATTTTTGCTTCACTGTCTTTCAAATGGAAAATTTTGTGTTCGATTGGCGTTCGTTTGCCTAAACGTTTTACATAATCAGTTTTGTAAACTTTTACCAAATACTACTTACTTTTCTTATTGAACAACGACGTCACTCACGATAACGGCGACGACGACGACGACGACGACGACAATACGTAAGATTTTTGTTTACATGTGATTAAGTATGTAACAGTAATACAAACATAAAAACTTTGGCACTTTAAAAGCACGCACACAAAAAGTGTGTTAGCAATGTTAAGGTCATCACTAAGAACAATAATAAATAAATGGGAGAACAATTTCAGGGTGCGTGCATGTCAGTACCATACAAACACGTTGCACGTTTTCAGTTAACTTTGGACTCAAACAGTAAACCGAACATAAAACAAAAGAATTCTCTGTTAAGCGTAGACGAAAATTGAGAAAAATCCTCTAAATACAGTTATAATAGAATGGAGGCTTCTATTCTTCGCTTCGATATTTTCCCTTTTCTTAAATGTATTTTTAGAATTATATGACAAAACATGTATGCTTAGGCAAATACGAGATCACATTTTAGGCCACAACCTCTGCACAGATAACTTGAACTCAAATCAAATGATGTCACCAACTATGACCTTAAGAATAATTGAAAATTTAAATCATTTTTCAGAATTTAGTTAGTCTGCCCAAAAATGCTTGACCACCTTTCGACCTCTCTCTTACCTTTCTATTATTCGCATTATTTATCATTGTGTACGCTCGCGTAACGATAACTGAATAGAAATCCATAATGAATAATTATTTAAGACATTGGCGAATTCATTCATTCATTTTAGGAAATCGTCACAATTCCATGGGAATCGCATGGGAATTTCCCTCACACAAACCATATTATAAAGCATTAACCGAATACTAGCAACAGCAACAATGATAACGAAAACGGGGTAAGCACATGGTAAGAAGTGCAGAAAATTATACAAGAATGCTGGAAGGACTTTAAGGAAAGCGAAGGTTCTTTACACATCTCTCTATTCGCTTGCATTGAATGCTTGCGCACAAAAATTAAAATCAACAAAGCTGACCTAAAGTCATTTGCTCGCCTTTCACTTGAAAATTTCGAATATATTTGTTTCTTTAGTTTGTGCTGCGCATATATATATATATATATTTTTTTTTTTTTTTTTTTTTTTTGAGTCCTTAGCAAATGCTCTTCAATGTCAAATTAAATGAAAATCATTAAAATTTCTTTTGTCAAACAGGCTTCAGTATGATATGCCGGCAATAAAATGCCATTGTCAGTTATCTCTGTTAAATGGAAATTCTACGTTATAATGTGTCCTTGTTTGCATATGAAATGTTCAAACAAAAATTTTCAAGTCATTGAATCAATCAATCAATAAAGACTTTCATATAAATATTTCATATTTCGGAGTCACGTTATCTCTGTTGCGCTTATGTTAACAAAGCTGCTGACATGACTTTATAACAAATCGAAAATGACTTTTACACACAACTATGTTTTAATTCGAATAAAATGGAACATTTTCTTTTTTTTTTTTTTTGTTTATATAATGAAAAGAAGTTGAGTGAAAAAGTCACTAAATTTATCTTGATTTATTATACCTTAAACATATTTCGATATAGGACTTTATTAAGATTGTATGGATGTATACAATATAGGGAGTGACTTGAGACAGATCTATTCAATCTCCAATCGATTTATATTTATTTTCTGAGTTGATTTAAGTCCTCCTGTCCGTCCGTATTTTCATAAAATTTGGTAGAGTGACGTATTTTGAGTCAGAGACGAACGTTATTGAAAATGACTCGGATCGGCCCAAATTTTCGACCACTCCCCATATAATGACCTATTTCAAACTTTGGCATTTTAAAGTTTTACGAAAATTTTGGAACGGCTGGGGCAATTTTTTAATCCCCTCTCATACGACACGAAAACTAAATTTCACACGCCAGAAAGACATAATGTTATGATGGCACTGAACCCATAATAGTAATGTGACATAAAAATTATATAAAAAGTACCTCAATTTTTCGACCTCTTGGACACATCCATGCTAAGGGAACGCAAGGCTTCATTTGCAAAGAGCTTTAGTTTTTAATATACAATCGCATAATAATATGTTCTTGTAAAAGCAAAGTATGACTTTTGTGTTCTATGGCAAAAATAAGAATTTATGTTAGACCATGTGGTATAGGGTAATTAATAGTTGGCCCAGCCTGACTATAATATTTTGACTTTTTTTTTCTTTTAATTTATTCATTTAGTAAGCATAGCATAAAGCCATAGACCTATTATCTACTTACATAAATACATTTCATCTGCAAAAAGTCACTACAACATAATTGAAGAAGTTTATGAAGAGTGGAAGGAAAGCAGAGACGCGAGCGCAGAAAATAGAGGATAGGATAGGATCTTGGAGCAGTTCGAAGCTATTGAAATGGTAATCAGTCTCAGAATTTCAAAAACAAAAGTAAGGATAATCGTAACAACTTGGAAGTTATATAACATCCTTCAGAATTGACCTAACAGACTTGACCTACCGGAGGAGGAGAGCGAGTGTATCGGCATAGATTAGAAACAAGAGTATGGGGAACGCAAAGAGCTGCGTCTTTTCGCAGCATTTCTCGCTCCCGCTCGGACTGCCAGTTCCGATTCCTTTCTCGTGCCTCCCCTCGACCGAGATAACGCTACCTTGCCCCATTAGTCATTCTTAATCTAACACCTAAGTTCATTCGTTTATTTTAATTCGTTTATTTTCTAGAACACTACGAAAGTTTGCTTTTCAGGTAGATGTATGTATTATTGTATCTATTATTATATATATATATTTATATATATATTTTTATAAACTTTTGAAAAGCACAAAAAAGTGAATTGTCTTCATTGTTAAAAGAGCAGCAGAGAACTCAAGGGAATAAATTATATCAAACAGGAACTGGTGTAAGAACAGTGAACTAGAAGCATTAGAGTGACTTTATACAGTGCGGTTGTGTGTGACGTCTTTACAGCAATACAAGTAACGCTATCTCTTATGTTTGGCTGCGTTACTCTTTCCTCATTCATTCATTCATTGTTTGTTTGTCTCGGGAAAAATCTTAGTATTAAAGGTCCTTGATATCAATTCTATGTAAGGCAAGAGCAAATGCCCTTCTGTGCTTTTAAATGTATGCACGCTACGGCCTTCACTTGTGTGCACGTATACACGTGAAAAAACCGTAACAATAATATAGCAAATGTATAATAACTTGTCTTCGTTTCGTCATCACAAACGTATATCAAACTTTATCAATTTTCTAAACTCTGTCTCCCCGTCAAGTGCTTCAATAAATTGCACTGAAAACGTTTTATACGCCTATAAAAATATTTTTCCTAATTAAAAATTGGAAGTTCATGTGATGGGAATACTTTACCTTTACTTAGTATATTTTATGGAATTTTTCACATTACCTAAGAGGAGCATTAACTACTCATTTTACAGGACTTACCTCAGACTTATTCATCTTAATCTCCTTAATACAAAAAATAATAATAATTTCATTGGGATGAATTAAGAAATAGATAGATACACACAAACATGCTAAACATATTAACGACTCGTTCGAATTTACAAAATTTAATATATCACCTGCTCTTCTGATCACTAAATTCTACACCATCATGCTATCGGGCCAAGAATTTCTACTATATGTTAAATAAAAAAACTTAAGATAGGCTCCAGTAATTGGTGTCTATGTCTTTTGTTGCGCCCCCCACAACTTTTACTTACGTAAAGGCTTGGTAGAATTGTTAAAAGTCAAACCAAAACTTATGCGCCTTCCTTTCAAGTTGCTTTAAAATATATCGTAATGCGTCTCATTCCATATTTAAAATATGCAATAAACCGATATATTTTTAATAAAAAAAAAAATGATCATTTTATTGAATCACTTTAGCAGCCAAAACCTTATCACGTTCTTCAGCAACACTCAATTTAACGCCCAAATCCTTTGTTCAACTAATATACGAATGTGTACTTTTGCCATTGTGATGCAAATATTAGACGAACGGGTAACGAAAATATGTCCTTGTGAATCCTTAATGTAAACTATCAAATCAAATGAGGCAGGATGTCTTTTACGACGCGTCCCAACTTACGGCCGCCAGTGATCATGCACAAGTTGCCAGACTCAATAATTTTGCCTTTAGCAATGTAAACTTGAACAATGGATCCTTTATCAATGGATCAGGATAACGTATGAAAGGTACACCCTTCGCATTTAATTGTGTTTTACGAACTTTACACAGTTTGTACTTTGCTCTCCCCGGGCAATTCTTCTGCGATGAATTGTGAAACGACCTTTAACATAACCATTCAATTGCTCGATGGATATGCAATCTTTGTAATCGCCAGGCCTTCTTTCTTTCTAATACACTTTGACGTATTGTATTGTATTGTAATAATTAAATATTCTCGGATGTATAGAGACCTATACACGCTATAATAAAAATTAATGCATTTATTATTTTTCTTTTAAAAATTTGCTTTATTGAAAAAATCCCTGCTTTACGTTCACTTAAATTTTACAAAAAACAAAAAACAAAAAAAACAAAACAAAAAAATAAAGCAGAACAGAACAGAACAGAAGAAAAGAAAAACGAAAAAGTTCGATTAACGAATAAAAAATAACAAAACTTTAACACACTTATATACAATTATTTCATTATTTTTTTCGAAATAATAAATCTTGTTCGCTAAGCCTGTTGTTCAGTCCGGTCAGATCCTTGCAACTGCGTTTTTTAGCAAACTTAACGGAAGTATGGATAAGCTGTATAGGCCGAGTAAGCTGCAGCATAAGGGTAAGTATAAGCAGCGGCGGCTACAGGGGCTGTATAGGCGGCTGTATAAGGAGCGGCAGCAACAACTGGAGCTGTATAAGCAGCTGTATAGGCTGCTGTGTACGGTGAAGCGATCAACGGAGCAGCTACTACAGCTGGTTTAGCCATAGCGCAGGCTAATACAGCGAACAAGCAAACCAACAACTAAACAACAATAAAAAGAGATTTTTTAAACAATTTTAGATTTTTTTTTTTTTTTTTTTTTTTATTCTAAACACAAAGACTTTTTACAACTATTTTATACATAAACAAAGCCGACCATTCAATACCCTACATCACATTGTCTAACACAATTCTTATTTTACTATGAAATTATTACTTTTCAATTACTACCAGATATCAAAAGTTAGACTTTTCCGTGCTAGAAATGATCAATTTTCATAAAAATTCTTATTAGGATAATATTCAGAAAATAGACCGAGATGATCCAAATAGGAGACAGTGCATTTTTTTTAAGTTAAATTACTATTCTGACATAATTTTCATCATGAAGCATTGAAAATTATGCCCTCTTGACCTATGAACTTTAGATTTCATTAAATGAGAGGGGATTCAAAAATTGCCCCAGGCGATCCAAAGTTTTCATACGAATTCAAAATGCCGTAATAGTACTACTTAGCCGTGAAATTTTGAAAATTGCAGTTTTTTTTCTTCCATATATAACGACTTTTCAGAATAGGGCGTTATAGAGGAAGTAGTTGAAAAAGTGAACCGATCCGAACCATTTTCAATAGCGTTCGTTCTTGAATCAAAACACATCCCTGTACCAAATTTCATCAAAATATCTCAAATGTGCGACCTGCAATTTGAACGCAAATATACATGGGCGGACATCAGACGGACAGACAAGGTAAGATCAATTCAGCTTACGATTCTGAATCGATGAGTATAATAAAAGGTGGATCTATCTTAAGCCCTTTTGTGTGTTACAAACGTCCGCACTAACTTAATACACCCTGGTACAACACAAGTGGTATAGAGTATAATCATACAATATAAATAATGGTAGTAATTTATACGAGAGATATATAAAAAATATAAGAAATGCGTAGGCAATAGCGACGATTCGCTTCGTTATGAATACATATGAACCTCTTTCAGTCGTTTGACTGATCTTGTAGGTGAATACTTGCTATGGATCGCTGATTATGTTATTAAGAAAACTATTTTTATTTTTATTTTTTTTACTTTTATATTCAATGTTATTGCTTTGGCCAAATTTTCGGCGCCCATTTTCTTATTTCATCAGCGAATATAAATCTTTCTCAATATATTCAGCTTTCAAAAACTGACCGATTGATCGATATAATCCGAGCCGCGTCTATATTTAGATTAAACGACCTCTGGTGCGTACCATTCGTTATTAGAAACGGAATAGTAAAATTTTTTTTTTTGATTTCTTATTCCCATACCCAGATAGCTCAGATAGCATAATAAATGTTAATTTCATAAATTAATGACAATTCGATGACTTTTGCTTAATATTTCCTATTTATTAAGATCCCGGCAACATCTGCTATCAGATCTTAATAAATCATTTTACAAAATTCATGAAATTGCAATCCAATCTGTTAATTGAACAAAATTTAGATAACATATATATAACGCCAACAAATTGTTGCGATAAATCCTGCTTCGGAAGAAGGATTTGAGGAATGTGTTATAATCAAATATAATTCTTTCGGATCATGAGACAAAAAACAAAAGTTTTTTTTATACATGGAAAGCAGAAGTTGGAAATCTATAGACTAGAGTTTGGCCATTCGATCATATTGATTACAAAGATCAAAATATATCAAGCACGATATGAAAAGATTTATATAGTTAAGCTGAAAACATACATTTCCAGGCATTTCTGTTCAAAAAAAAAAAAAAAAAAGGCCAATTAATAGATCTATAAAACTCAGCTCCATTAGAGCTTAAGGCGGCGACAAAGGATGCCAAGTAAAATTCGAAATACTACCGTCAATAATATCAGATATAGAAACCTTGGCGGAGCTTGTTTGTAACTTAGCGGCCCATAACGTAAGTCGGAGGAAGAGTACATCAAAAAATAGGGAAAGCAATTCCATGCCGAGCGTTCTGGTAACATAAACTTTTTTATAAAGTCCTTTACCCATTCTCTCGTAGAAAATCTAATAAATATATTCATAAATACTATATAGCTAGTTAGAGTTATTATAAAGACACTGAGTGAAACAATATCGGTAGCAGATACTTAACAGGTTGGACTTGAGAAATTTTCCAAATATACTATATGTATATATAGTAAAAGGATTTGGTGTACACAACACACAAAATGTCGCGAAGGATTCTATTGATAAAGTGATAAAGAAAACTATTAGATAAATAATTTTTGCTATTTACACTGATTGTAGTCTTAAGGCGACCATATATCTCATAAAGCTACTTTTGATTTTGATACCGAATGTAGCGCTCAATCGAAATCGCAATTTTTTTCTTAGCTCCAGAATAAACTGGAAATTGATTAAATAATTTAATCCTTTCTTTCACATATATCTTTTCGTCTCTTTCTTACTTTTCATTTATATATTATTTTTATTTAACACTTACAATTTTAAACATTTTGTATATATTTTTATTTATTTATTTTATTTTTTTTTTTTCCAGTTAATATTTTATTAGTTGTTTGTTAAAAAGTTCTTTCGAAACTGATAACGATTCACCCACAAAATTGTTGCTTATATACAAAAACTATTTTTTAAAAATTTTCTAAACTTTTTTTTTTTTTTTCTCTCTTATTCTACTTTTAAACGTTGATTTGGCCAACTCAATCATCAAACTATAGCCAAAAAAAAAAAAAGAAGAAAAAAACAAACAAAGAAAAAAACACAAAAATTTTTTTTTTTACTTACATTTAAATTCCAAACATGATCTTATTAATTTTTTTTTTTTTTTTTTTGCCAATGCTTTTTTCCATAATTTATAGTTGACACTTTTTTTTCTTTCTTAAAAGCCCACAAAAAGCGTAGAATTGCACATATAAAGTTAAATAATAAAATTAATGTTTTCAAATGCAATAAAAAAAAAATAAAAAAAAAAAAGAATATGTTTAGGAATTTATTTTTTTTTTGTTTCAATGTTTTTTTTTTTTTTAACCATAAGAAAATAACGCAAAAACCATGGAAATTAACCATGCGGTTGACACTTAATCGTTTTATTGCACAAAAGGCCGCATTGTGAGGAATAAACAATTGCCAGTTAAGTACATAATAACTTAAGTATTTGTTAAGATTATTCACACATCAACGAACTCCGCATACAAATTGATTTTGCTTTCAAACTTTGTCTGTCCTGTGTGTGTGTGTGTGTGTGTGTGTTTATGCATATGTAATAAAATTAAATAATATGTAAACAAACAATATCAACAGTGTTACCGAAATGTTAAAACAATACGTTTCTTCATTCTATGCCCGATCCAAATAATTTTTACAAACGTTATCTCGTTAATCGATTTCAAAACCAACAAAAATAGTTTTTTTTTTTTTTTTCTTTTTTTTTCTGACACTCTAACCCTTTCACTTTGACGATTAATATAATACTTTTGCATATGCCACGAGCAACTTTCAGTTAGTTATCTCTAATCAATCGCTTGCTAACAAGTAACGATAACCTGAAGAGAAGCAATCATGAAATCATGTCTTACACAGCATTCTGCTGCGTGCTTATCTTTGTTATATAAGCAATTTTTGAATGAATCCATTAATTGAATTTCTCGATTATGTTCCTAATCTATCATATGCCTTCCAAGTTGTCATTAGATTAGGTGTGTGAGAAGTTTGTACAACACTCGCACACATACACGCACACGCATAACTTTTTTACGTTAAAGTTTCATGCAATATTGATGGCTTGCGGTTCTAGAATGACTTAAACTTGTTGTTGTATATGCAATTTTTGTACACAGCGCAGACATCGAATAGACCATAAGCGACTGCGTCTACTTATCATCTGCGTAGGACTTAAGCCCCAAAGATTGATTTCTATGTTGTAGAGCCATGTTTCCATATCCATAATCTTTAAAATGTCTTGTATTTTTTGATGGAGGTAGGAAGCCCAGTTCCGTAAAATGAATGAAAAATAACTTTCGTATTAGAAACGGTTCTTATTATGAAAAAGTTTTCAAAGCTTACGATGGAGTCAGATCAGCTCTGGCTACGACACTTTGTACGGTTAAGCGGCCGAGTAGGCAAAGGATCTCTTAGGTACTAATGCTTTAAGACTTTACACTTAAAATTTATATTTCTGGGTAAAAAATTAATAATGATAATAATAATAATAATAATAACATTTATTAATAATAATATTTTTAACCTACAAATATATTCAAGAGCGAACTCTTAGTCTCTTTGTTGTTGTGTTTCTTATTTGACTAATTATTGAGGAGATGATCTCTAATGTAGGACTAGAGCTGATAGGAAAGACTTATTCATACAGGAGAGAGGCAAGAAGAAGAGGAATTTTTCTCGCATCAAAACAAATAAACGAGAAATTCCAGGTAAAATTAATTATCATCGGGCCAATGAAACGAGCAAAAGCATCAGTAAAACAAAAGTGTTGCATACTTCACTCGCCACCATATATAATACATAAGTTTATTACGATTTTCACGAAAAACTCAAAACATATTTATCGGATATTTCACATTAACTTTTCTAGTTTCATTATACAAAGTTTTGATCGATAAATTTTCGCAAGATTTCTGGTAAAAATCATTTTCCTATCAGCATAGACCTTCACCTTTACACCATTAAAGATGTTTTGAGAAAAATGACACATTTCTTGCGGAAATATTCTGGACGCTTTACCTTAATTATGCGCTTTAATCCCATTAGTTGTTGGCTGTAGAGTACGGAAACAATCGTTTATTTAAGTTGGAGCAATTCAGCTGGAGCACGATTTGCCTCCAATCCTGAAAGACATCGTAGCTGAGCTTTGTCACCGTTGGTGCAAACTTATTCATCTTGGATCACGATCTTTTTTCACCGCCCCTTTTCAATCTCTTCAAAGACGGTTCGAGTCGCAATAATGGTTCACGAATTTGTGACCCGATCACGAGCTACATAGTTTAAAATTATTTTTTGATTAAAGTTGCATAAAATGAAATCGGTGTCGGTCTTATCTATAGTTTTGAAAAAGTTCATTCACTTTAGCGACAGCTGATCGACCGGAAAGCGATTTGCCCAAGCTTCTAAGAATAACACGAGCCGTTTTGTGCCACTAAATTTGAAAAAGCCTCCATTAATACCACGAAAATTGTCACAAGCTTGACCGACATTGTGACATTGTAAACTGTAGCAAATTTTTTTGAAACCTTGGTTCGTCGTTAAAGCGCAGTTACTTTCGACTGAGCTAACAAACTTCACAATATTTTTTTACGTTTTAATCGTCTAGGGGCTGTCACCTCTCGCACGCACGCGAACCAACGTATACCGTATTTGAAATATTAAACTGAAATACATTCCGGCGATAATTATTGAAAGCATCTTTTTTTACCATTGAATCGGTCTCATGCACCGCTGCACAATATGTTCAACGCCTTCATTGTGTTATGTTATTTTTACTATTATTCTACAGACAGTTAGTACGCATTGCAGGACAGTTTAAGAACTCATCTTCTTTGATACGTATGATCCATACGATTGTTATTATTATTCTTATATTCTAAGCTTCGCATGTGTACGCTTTCTTACACCTTACAATATGCATATAATGCAGTCTTCTTTATCAATATCTTTATCAATCATATCCGCATACACATACATCTAAATGCTTTGATTTCGTTGTCATTATAATAATTGTTTTATTCTTCCGCCGAATACTAGGAGAAATATTCATTAATATTGTCTTCCTGCTCATTACATAGGCGAAACACTGAACGTTAAACAGAAAATTGGGGAAAGTGAACTGCTTTAAGGGAAAAGGGAAATAGCCCCAGTAGTTCTCTGGATCATTTCAAAAGTGTACAAGCAATCGGTTCAAAATATACTAAAGATAGTTATCGTCGCTTACTTTAGCCCGAAAATTTATCCAGTGTGATTTTTATGATGTAATATATTCGGATAACTGACGGTAAAAATATTTCATATTAAAATCTGCTTAATCTGCATATATCAAATAGAAACAAGTCGAATTTATTATAGTCGGTAACGGCCGACTATTAAATACCGTACGTCACGTCGCTTCACTTCGCTTCCTAGAAAATATACAATCATCTCCTGTAAAGGTGTACCTTTTATGAACGACCTTTTCTTTAGAGATTACACCGCTGCACGTTAATTGACGTAAGCGAAATTTAGTTCAAAAAATTGCTCAATACGATCCGAATTTATCACATCAATTTAAAATAAAGACTTTTTCAAATAAATCTTTATATGGCAAGTAACCAAGAACTTAGTCCGATACGAACTATTTTGAATAGCAGTCGTCCTTAGGCCAAAACACCTCGATATAATATCAAATTTCATTGAAATATCTCAAAATTAAGACCTATAGGTAGAGTACAAAAAACATAGATCAGAATCAATAATAAGGCACAACATAGAGACAAACAACGTTAGATCGATTGAGAAAGTAATGCCGAATCGATTTGTATAATTAAATGTGGATCTATAGCAAGTCCTTCGGGGAAAACGATCCGAATTTCGGGTCACACTTTAAACAAAGTCTCAGCAGCAGATGGATGCAAACTTATGCCATAACATAATGCGAATTGGTGTTCTTCCTATCAAACGTCTCCTTAAAACGAAAAATTTTGAATTCTATAAAAATAAATTATACGGAACTTCGACAAATAAGCGTTTTGTGACTCCATACGCGTACTAATAATATATTAAATATTCACAATTTTCTCCACAGCTTTCTTAACTTCGAGACTGTCGTGCGTAAAAGTATGCATAGGAGATTCTAGAAAGTCTAAATTAATTTCTAATCACAGCCACTTTTCCATCTATTTGATCGTCGAACAAAGATTATAAATTCATAAGATGCAAAGGCTTCTTTTTGTTGTTGTAAAATTCAATTCTATTCGTCACCGTAGTGCTCTACCGATGTGATGCAATCAATCGAGAGCTCTGCTAACATTTCGTTGCCGTTTTTATAAAGCGATTTTTTTCCCTTTGGCAATTCGGTTTTTCTTTTCTTTTTTAATTTTCATACGACCAAACACTCGGGATATCTCTCCTATACGTGTAACATAGTGGTAGTGAAAAAGAAAGCGGTAAAAGAGAAGGAGATATGTAGTGACCGCAGCCTGATGGGTACTTGCCCAAGCGGCAAATGTTCTGCCTTTAGCGACTAAGCACTCATTGTAGCTATGACCAAATTTGCACTCGCGAGCATAGACTTGGTAGTCGCCTGTCTTATATATTCGGCTGTGTGGGATATAGCGGATGAGGTAGCACCCCGAACCTCGATTTTTTGCAATTTTGTGATTGTAGCCAGCAACTCGTTTACCGTCAACAACCGTCTTGCTATACTGTGAGTAAATGTGATATAGTTTTGAAAAACCTGCTTATCATGCTCGAATTTTTATCCAAAACAGTGAAAATAGTATGCCTTGATATCGTCCGTAAGTAAGCTATTTCTTCTTCCTCTTCTTCTTCTTCTTCTTCTGCAACTTTTGTTTTCGCTTATTGAAAATAATTTCCTGGATTTTTTTCATGTTTTCTACCGTAAGTACCTCGTTTGACGGTCCCCTGCATTCCACATAATCGGTGCTCGTAAAATCTCGTTTAAGTTCCCAATAACCCAATAGCAAGATGTTGTTCGCGACAACGACCAAAAATTGCCGTAACACTTTCCAAAGCAAGTGCAGCGAAATTCTCATATGCGGCCAACACGATAGTTGCCCCATCAACCAATTTGGCCATATCCGTCTATCCGTTCACTCGTTCGTATATTCATCCATCTCCCACCTATTATTTGAAGACGTAAAAATTGATAGGGAAAAAAGGAAGGCGTAAAATTGACCTAACAAACGGATGATTTTAACGCGCCGACGGCTGGATAATTTATAATTGGCACATGTGCTCCTAGCATATGTAATAGGAAAAAAATTGCATTGTAAAAATTGATCGCGATTGACTCGCTAACACGCCTATTAATAGTAAGAAACAATTTTGCGATATACATGAATATATTTTAATAAAGTTGTGGGTGTACAAAATTCGCCCCAACGCTTAAAGCCTTAATATATATTTTCACTTAATTTCTCTTCATTCGCATGAATTCAAATAAGCTTGGAATGGCGTGCGTACGTTCATACGTACATGTGTGCGTGTCTGTGTATCTGCCCGTATGCACAAGCCTATATAATAATTACATTTAATGCAATCGTACGCGCTCGATTCTGAGAACTTTTTATATTTCTGGTGCGGGTTTATTATGTTATTATTATTGTTTTTGTTTTTACATTCACAACATTGTGACAAATAACCTTTAAATGAAAAAAATTATAAAAATCCACAGCTACTTGAAATTCTATTTCAATTCACAATCGTTCGCATTTCACAGCACCTGAAGTTGACTTTATCTCTGAAAACGTTTTAAAATTCATCTGCCGACCAAAATCAAAAAAAAAAAAAAATAAAAAAAAAACAACAACTAAAAAACTATTCATAGCCCGCAAAGAATAAAATTTAAAAATAATAAAAAATATTTAAAAAAAAAAAAAAAACTTATTCAACATTGTTCACCAAATAACCAAATAAGAAGAAAACAAAAGTAAACCAAATAAAACAAAAAAAACAAAAAACAAATAAAAAACAATTATGTTTAAATTCGTAAGTTTAAAACGTCATAATAAAAATGGCAACGTTGATAATCTTGAACAATCACCTATACTTCAAACATCATCAACTCATAATCCGATTGCTTTAATTCCCAAATCCCCAATCAATCAACAACATCATCTGCACCAACACCAACACCCTGCAAATCATACTTTTATCAACAACATTTCAGATAATCCCGCTTGCAATTGTCAGCTTCAGCGTGATCTTCAGCCATTTGCAGCCTGCTCTAGCTATGCCACGACCGGGCGATTTCCGGGATGCTGTCGAAGAGATCGATGTACCGCCCGAACATCGTGCTGCTCCGCCGCAAGCTGCTCAGCCATCTGTCCCGCTATACCCAAGAGCCATATTCCCTGCCATGCCCGGCACATATCCATTATTCTTCCAAACACCAAACGGTTTTGTACCCTTCGCCAATACATACAATGCGTATCCTGCCCTAGCCCCAACAATTGCTATTTAACATCATGCGATATTAGATAAATAGACGAAATACTTGACATTTTCTTTTATGACAACACAATTATAATATAGTTTAAAAGGGATTTTTTACGGCAGTTTTGTTTTACTTTTTATTAAAAAAAAAAAAAATTATATATATATATATATATATAAATTATATATATATATATATATATATATGTCTTTTTTTGTTAAGTACTAAAGAAAACTGTACGTATATGTTATGCTTATCAATAAATACGATGTATGTAATTTTGAAATGAAAAACAATAAAATAACAAATAAACAAACAACAAAATATTCGCAATTTTATTTTATAACGCGGACACCTTTACTCCTGATTATGTATTCAATTCGAGATGGTAGTCGCTGAAAAGGATTAGTAATTGCTTTCATCATTCTTTCAATCCAGTTAGATAGCCATTTGTCAACCCGAATTTCTCAATCGGAAAGCATGAACATAACAAATTTTATTATATCATTAATCAAAGTGTGTTTTTTTTTTTTTTTTTTGTAGTTGTAAAAGTTCTTCTCAAAACAAAATCATTTTGAAGGCATTTAGTCATTTTTCGTAAAAATAATTAATCATCGAATACAAACTAACTATTAACTATCGTTCAGTGAAGGAAGCCCGAATGCGAATGCTTGTGACATATTGAAAAATCAATTAAAAATGCTGTCCTACAAGCTATTGAGAATAGCCTCAATTAATTAACCTCAATGCGATGTCGCTTTCAATGACTTCTCTAGTCTCTCGACTAGAATGTTTTTAGGATAAATTAGGCAATGATATCTTTCGTTTACGATATCATTTATATATGTGTGCTGTGTAGATGTAACACTAAATTCTTATCAAGTTTATATACCTATCGCCGAGTCCATAGCACTATTAGTATAATCAAAATTCATTTGCATGAAATTAAAATCAATCGTGAAAGACTGAGACGAACATATTTTTCATTTAGGATATACTTACAGTATTTCTAACTCATTACGCAATGAGAATGTCCTTAAGCTTAAAGTTTGATTGTAAATTAAACTAAACTAAACCAAAACCATATTATTATGTACGTAACTGAACTAAAACGATATCATTACGTATGAAATAAAAATTCGCTTCTCTAAGGATTCGTTAAACGTCTAACATAAATACAAAGTCCAAAGAGTTAACTAAAACATTTTATTGAAATACATAATTAATTTTTCAAATATTTATCGATTGGGTGACATCTGTTTAACTGTTTTGCCCTTTTTCCTCATCTGCAAATCTGCTTAGGTTAGTTGAGATAAAATTTGATAATTGAATAATGTAAGCGAAACAAATGCCATTAAGAAGGAGTATTAAATTTTCACTTTCTATTCCCAATTATTGTAAAGGGAAGTCGCTGTTATTTGTCGCTTAGCAAGCTTTCTAGTCCTGCTGAAAAGAGAAATAATTTTTCGTAAACTATCATAGAAGGATAATAACAATAAGGCCATAAAATTGCACTTATGTTGCTTGTTTTCTTTTCTTTTTTTCACATCAAATCGGGCCATGAGTTGAGGGAAGGTGGCGTAAAGATTCCTTTCTATAGTTCTTAGGAATGCGTAAACCGTAACGACTTCTAACTGCCACGATTGCATCTGAGCGCTGTGGAGTGTTTGCACGAAAAAGAAAAAAACGCTACCATACTACACTATATAAAATATTACGCTTACTTATCATCTTATGCTAATAATATATATTGTACCGCATTTTCATCTTTTTTTTTTTTTTTTTTTCCTGTTAAGTAATAATCAAAGCAAAATATTTAAAATTTATGTAAACTTTGATGATAAATTAATTTATCTATTCGTAACCTTGAGATGTTATTTATAATGATAATATAAAGACATATAAATAGATTTAATTATTTCCTTGTGGGTGTGATCACATTACAGCAATGTCTTTATACACATCATCGATTCACTTAACTGTTAACAGGTAATATTCTTCTCAGAATTATACTATACTCATCATGCCTGTGACATTAGTCAAAGCAATTTGTATTAAAGACAAGATGAATAGCAATTGTTGTCTTCCTGATCGACTGGCAATGCAATTATGTATGAATGGCGACAATATGACTAACAGATAATGGTCCTATTAATAAAGGTTATAAAATGCTTATTTGTTCATTTTTTTTTTTTTTTGCGTAAAAAATGCATTTAAAAATAGATGAACCTTTTGTTGTGTAACCTTACAAGTGCATAAGAATTCTGGGCTGCATAATAACATTATTTATTATGATGTTAGATGACATAAACCATATTGGTACACGATGCAAATTATTTTTATTTCACTATTTTATTAACATTTTTGAACTTAAATTAAAATCACAAAGTCCGTTTAACAAAGATCCATTTTACATAGTTTTCAAAATCGTTGATAAAGAGGTTTAGAAAACCGTAGTATAGGCAGCGGTATGAGGATAATAGGAGGCAGCTATAGGAGCTGTATATGCGGCAGCGATGGGGGCCGTGTATGCGGCTGCCACGGGAGCAGTATAGGCTGCAGCTACAGGCGCCGCTACGGATGTGGTGTAAGCGGCTGCAACGGGAGCAGTATAGGCAGCAGCTACAGGCGCTGTATAGGCAGCTGCAGCGACTGGAGCTATTACCGGAGCTGTAGCTATCCCATTATAGTTACGGGCAACATATTGTGAACTAGTTGCTGTTACAACACCGGCGGGAGCAGCAGCGGCCACAACAGGAGCCAAAACGGCAGGTTTACCAGAAGCGGAGCATACCAAAGCAATTAAAGCAATGCAAACAGACTGTAATCAAAGCAAAGGATATAATATTATTGCATTAATATGCCTAATAATCAAAATAATTTAAAAAAGTTATAAAAAAATAAAACTTTTTTTTTCTTTTTTTTCTTGTATCAGTACATAATGATCTTTTCTTACCAATTTGAACATTTTGTTGGATTTTGTTTCTTTTATAAAATTTTTAAAAACTTGATTTGAGACTCTTTTACTTAACTTTTGCCAAATGCAAACTATGCCCTCATTGTAAAAATCACTTGTCTTATATAGTCATAAATTCAATGAATTGCGTTCAATCAAGATGTCCGTCAAAATATTAAAATATATGCGCTTTTTTTAACAAACGCTTAAAAAACAAACATTACACTAAAAAAATAAAAAAATTAAGTTCTACAAACCCTAATACGTATTGTGATGGTATAAGTGTATCCACAACAATTATTTCATATCAAAAATTTGTTTATGATATAAAAATACGCAACGAATAGATTAACCATGCCGTAGTGCGAGTGCCAAAAAAAAAAAAAAAAAAAACTATTTTATGTTATTAACCAATAATTATACGAAATATATAAAAAAAAAAAAAAATTATTTATTCTAATCACATCTTTTCATTGGCCCTCACGTTGAAGTATAAGGTTTAATTTATTATATGTAGAGGATTTCGATGGTGTTTACCTACGCAATCGTCTTTAAATTTCATGAAACGTTTTTAGGCGTAAAAGTTTATTTATCAAATGCTTACTGAATCGAAACGTTGAAAAAGACATTTTTTTTTTTTTTCTTTTGATGACCTTCAGCAACAATTCACACGCACTTTTAAAAATAAGCCTACAATGCGATACAATTTTCAACTAAATTTAAAATGGTCCTAAAAATATATATATTCAAAATAAGAGAAAAAATTTTTATTAAATTCTTTTGATCTTTTCTACATATACAGGCATAAAATATGTTCACACCATATGTTCTTACCTCGAATAGGGCGCTACTTTCTTCTGATGCTATCTAAAGGACTCGAATTTTTATTTACTAAAAATTTATCCAAAGCTTGACGCTCTTGGTTCAGTTTTATAGATCAGCTTCCAAAGCGAACAATTCCTATTCTAAAATCTCAAACTATCTTCAAAACTATAAGATTGAAAACATGTTTGAAAAAACGTTAGCGTTTTCAACATAAGGATTCTTCCCTTTAATGCTTTTGAAGTTAACTTGCAACACTAATTGCAGTTCTTTAAGGTTCAACCGAACAAGTATTGCTATATCATCTTTACAGGCTGTAGCCTTTGAGAAGCCTTTGCAAAATATACAAATTTTGTATTACTGGTCGCCCTTATTGTCATTACGCATACTGTCATAGGCGCCTTCAAAGACGAACAATTAACAGTGTTGTGCAAGGATGCAAGTAGAAGTTTGTGGATGAACTAAATTCAACGATTACGCACCGTACTCAATCAACTGCGCTGTCCCGACATATTTGACTCAAAGCACATTAGTGCCAGCTCCGAAGAGGACTAAAGAGAAGAAAGGAAGCATTAAAACACACTTTAGTGAGTCGGAAATTAAAATAAAAAAATTTCTATCATTTTTCATTGCACTGATATTATCTGCTCGAAAAACCTTACTGGCACGTTCTTCAAACTTCTATTCAAGTGTGAATAGGTCGGTACAAATAAAAGAAAAACTGAGTTCTTGAAAAAATGCTTGCAATATTTATAATGTAGATAATGCACGATTGCCTGCTCGTCCTAGCGGGGAAAAAAAGTAGCAAAGTTTTACTCATAGGCTTTTCGAAGTAATATTTAAATAATTGACCCACCCTTAAATACCCTACAGTACTTCGTTTAGTGAAATTAATCATATAACGACTTTTTAAAATAAGCCTTTACAGGGGGAGCGTCGAAAAATTTGTTCGATCCGAACCATTTTCAATTGCGTTTCTCCTTGAGCCCCAATATGTTGATGTACGCAATTTCAACAAAATATCATATCTCAAACAGTAGCGACAAGTAATTTGAACAAAAAAAAAAACAAGACGGACGGACAGGCAGACAAACAGACAAAGGTAGACCGAAAGTTACTCTGTGTGTATCGATCCATGTGGAAAGAGTTTGAAGACAACAGTTTTTCTCAAAAAGTTGCGCTCGCTTCATTCGCGACTCCGTGCTGGAGCTTGAAAGTAAATGCTTATATCAAATTCAATAGTGGAGAACAATACAAGCCAACGTGCCGTCTGATGATCAAAAGAAGAAATAATAATGACAATCAAGGGATATCGGATGAGTATCACGTCGACTGCTAATGCTTGGGCCTGCTAAGTCGGACACGAAATTTAGTTTCCGAGTCGCCGACCAAAATACCATTGAAACGGGCTATCGCTACTGGATTCTAAAAAAAAACAAGTAAGAACATTATAGTCGGGCAACACCGACTATTATATGCCATAAACCACTTGGCCTAGTACAGCTATGTTTGGTAATAATACACATTATTTTGCACGCAAAGCCATAATTGTCATGAAAGCCCCTGACATTGGAATATTCGATTATCTCTCCACATAAGAGTTTGCGTTTCATGTGGTGCAGATTAGGTCCACTTAATTTTTTTTTATTTAGTAAATATCAGGAGCAAAGTTTCATCCCAAAAAAATATGAACAATTAAGGTTTTTTGGCATGGAAGGGTTTATATTTCTCATGAGAATACTTATATGCGATGGTCTCCAAAAAAATAGATCTACGTGGTCCAAATTCGGTAAAGTAGATTTCTTTGGCAATTTACTATTCTAAGCGGATAATTGCAACAGGGGGATTGGTCGAAAAAGTGGACCGTTCCGAACCATTTTCAGCAGCATTCGTCCGTATGCTCAGCTAACTCTGTGTATAAAATTTCATCAAAATATTTTAGAAATTGTGACCTGCAGCTTGAACACAAAAATACATGGACAGGCATTAGACAGACAGACAGACAGACAGAGAAACAGACAGGCGTACATCGAATCGATGAGTATAATAGAAGATGGGTCTATCTTAAGCCATTTTTGATGTTACATAGGTCCGCACAAATGGTATTGGGCATAAAAATATGATCACACACACATTGACAAAATCCATTTAAACCTTTCGTATGTGCTTGTCATTCATTCAAACTGTGTATATCTCTACTCAGACGTGTGATAAACTATCAAAAGATATACATTTTTTTGATAGCTACCCCGCTAAGTATTTTCAGCTTGACTTTCAGTCAGGCGTTTTTTATGACATAATCTTCTACACACGAATGCCTAAGAAATGTGTAGAAAAGAAGTTAACTGGGAAGAGTTGAGTTTATCCCAAATACAAACCGTTTCTGGACACTTTCAAGTTTTTACTTGTTCGCTTTGCTTTTATGAAAAGACAAATAAATAAGAAAGCCCTATATTCCGATTAAGACGGATCGGTTAGTTATTCGCTTTCGATATTTATGATATTTACTCTTAACCGATCAACTCTTTATTTTTTCAAAGATTTTTCCATCTGCGTAAGCTAATAAAAGCTTATTTATGGATAGATAAATAACTGAACTCAAAATGTTGTACTCTATCGAATGTACCAACCAACCAACCAACCAACCAACCAACCAACCAACCAACAAGAAAAGATAATATCTGCGCCTTTTTTTTTATAAATTGATGCCCAAATATTTAATAAGATGATTTAATCTGATCTTGAAAGTTTCTTTACAACATTTTCCGAATGTAAGTCAACAGAGTTTCGACTTGAAAATCTAAAATTTATATATAGCGTAATATATATGGTATCCAAGCTGGCTGTGAATGTGAAAATGCTAAAGTTATTCTCTCTTTCGCTGGAATGGTTGTAAGTATTAGTGTTTAAACTTGTCCGTCCATTATTGTATTGTCTTGAAATTGATTTTTATAAAGGTAATTGGAATGAAAGAATCGATGAATGAAAGTTGCGACAAAGATCTTGCTTGTGATTTATCGGAAGGCTCCTTCCTATAATCATAAGCATGCACGCATCACAGTTTTCGATCTTCTCGTACATACTTTCATTTGTACTTATTTATGTTTATATAGATATATGTAAATGCGTGTAGGTCAATACGTTGTCTCCTTAATAGAATTGGTGGCGAAACACTGTCCACAGCACACACATATAATATAGAAAAATTGATTTATTTATTTATTGTGTATATAGATAGCATTGTATATAGTATTGTGAAAGCCTTCGTATGCTTCAGAAAAAGGGCTTTAGAAAAAATTCGTAGACAATAGATTGATTGGCTGCGTAATTATGCGAATGAATGTTTGCTGCAATTCATATTGTAACCGATACACACAATACAGATTGTGTGTAGGCATTTTCAGTATTTCTCACCCATTGCGAGGGAGGAAACATTAACACGTTTGACACCGCATATTCGGACTATAATATAATGACATGCAACTGTTGTGGGCAAATTGTGGTTGTGTGTGTGTGTGTGTGTGTGTGTGTGATTTGTTTATGGTGTACAACACTTGAGAACATTATCTTGTTTGAAAAATTTGGTTTTATTTTATATGTTTACGTAACATAAACCTGATATGCAACAGTTGCCTATGAGCATAAGCAAATGAAAGAGTGTGGAAAATGTTATGTCATTATGGCAACCGATCATGTTACAGTTATTATTATTATTATTATTATTATTGTTTTTGTTGTTATTATTTTTGCATTGATTGTTTGTTTCACATTATTGCTTGATTTTCATACTAAATTGTGCAAAATTTGATTAAAAACTACTTTAAGTGTCTGTAGTAATAAAATTTTATTTATTTCAGTTTCTCGATAAATATTAAATAAATTTTTTATATTAATTGTGTAGGCGTGCACATATTATATAATAATAAATTTCTGCAGGCAGATTCGTAATTTATGATCTCTTTCAAAGGGTTAAGTCATGTCACGATGATTTCAGATTATTCAAGTGCGCAGACGGACATTCGCACATATACCGAAATGTATTTTTATAAAACAATTCAAAATAGTCGCCTATAAGCATATCTTACAAGCGTAATAGAAAAGTTGATATATGATGACTTAACAGATGGGGGAATGTCAACGCATAGGCTGCGAACTCTACTCCACTCCAAACTCGGATTAACGATAAAAAGAAGAAGAAAGTACACGCACAAATACATTGAGTAAATAATGCAAGCGATCAATTCAAAGATATATTGATTGCTCTTTGATTTTCGATCATTCGGTCGTTAGTCAATCTAGAGTCCATCGTTAAGTTATACAGTTATCTTGCACATATATGTCTCTGTCTTAATAGCAAATAGCGAAAATATCTTGACCGAAATTTGTTCAAATCCACGTAGATTTGTAACAGATATCGATCCAGCTATCTAAGACCTTTCTCTAACTCATCTAATGAACTATTGCTGAGAATGTTTTACATATATATATATATATATATATATATATGTGTGTGTGTGTGCGTGTGTGTTTGTGTTTTTGTCTCAAAATGATTTCAAGTTTTTAAGAAATTAATTTTCAAAAAAATATCTTTTTATATATATGATTCATAGATCACCTTTAGATTTCATTCCATTCGATTGAATTCAGTGACAAATATTATTTATTATTACGTTTTTATTTAATTTTATTTATTTATGAATGTTTCCTTTGTATTGCGCGAGTATTTCTTATTATTATTATTATTATTATTATTGTTCCATTTGTGTACTCATTGTTGCATTCGAATGATAAACGATTGCACCGCCGCGTCTTACTTGATATTTAGCTCTCAAAATGCGTCCGTAATGCCAGCCAACTATACATATTACGCACACTAATACAACAAGCGATATCTTTAAGACCAGCAGATACGATTGCATTTGCTGGGCATGTAAGCTCATGGTCTCCAAAGATTTTTGTAAAATTTTTTTCAATTCATCAGAGTGGTATAGATCATGTTCGACCCGTTTCAATTCCTCTTTTACATGACTCACACATGTTACATCGCGTATATGTGTTACTTCTTCATCGCTATCATCCGTTTCAATATGAAGTTGCGTCGTTTCCAACAGCTGTGGCGATATCAATAGCCAATGCAGATACGAGCAATTGAAACGATTACGCGATATGCCTAATTGCTGTAGAAATGGAAAAGCCGAAGCAAATGTATATTTACCCTGTATCTCGGTTAAATTATTCGCATCGACATAAAAATATTTCATGTTGTCATTGCTTGGTACGAAAATTTCCAAATTTAATTCAGTTAAATTATTATAGGATAAATCCAATACAGAGAGTGATTTAAGTTTCGAGAACATTCCAAATGTTAAATAATGTATACCAGTTGCACGCAAATATAATTCCGTCATATGTTCTAAACGTTGATAAGTAGAGATATTTGGAGTACCAACCGGATTAAAACCCAAATCCAGCTCGTATAGGTTAGTGAGGGCGGTCGTAATATTTGTTATATCCTTGATTTGATTATTTTGCAACCATAATGCAACCAATTCGCGACCATTTAATACTTTCACTTGATTTATAAAATTATGACCGGCATATATCGAACGTGTACCGTTTATAAGAAGGGTAGTTAATTTATTATGCGATAAATTCAATGTTTTGCTAACACTTTTATTAGCCAAATGAAAATCAAGTAATTGATTATTGGACACATGTAATACTTCCAGGGCATAAGAATTGGCGAATGTGTTCGGATCTAAAATTCTCAATAAATTATTAGTTAAATTTACTTCACGTATATTATCCAAATGATTGAAAACTTCCGGTTCAATGAATTCTAATAAATTATTGGCCAAATTCACTTCGTCCAAATATGAATTTTCGGCAAATAAATCTTTGGGTAAAACTTTTAAACGATTATTCGCCAACACTACCCGACTCAATTCATTTAAACCGGTAAATGTTAAATTCGTTAGGGTATGCAAGCAATTATAACTTAAATCCAAACGCATCAAATTATGTGCACCAACGAATACCGATGTTGTTATCTTTTCCAATTTATTATTGCTCAGATTAAGTGTAACTAAGCTATTCGCTGATGAAAATGTATTGCGTGGAATATCTTCAATTTCCGTATATGAAGCATCGAAATTTGTTAAGCTGCTGAAGACATCGAATAATTTAGCCGGAATGTATAACAATACGGAATTATAGAATTTCATGAAACGTTTTAAATTTGCTTTCGTTTGATTCGGTATCTTTACGTTTTGACTATGCGACACCTGAAAACCGGATACCGTGCAAAATAGACTATCCAACAAATCGGTTTCGTCACATTTTAACAAAATGTCTTCGGCACGCGTCGATAAGCAACACCAGCTTCCCAATAATGTAAAAATGATAGAAATTTTTATTAACGATGACAGCGACGACTTAAACATTATTATTATATATTAACTGTGTGTGAACTCGACCATTCATAAAGCAAAACTAATTGAGCATTAAACTCTGAATAAAGAAGGATTTTTTTTTTTTTTTTTTTTTTTTTTTGTTGCTTTCATTTCTTATTATATTTTATATTGTTCTTGGCTTTGCGGCTTCCTCTGTAGATGTTTATATGCATTTAATATATAAATGTGATAAATTTTCTTTTTAAACCCAACGAAATGGAGAAATAATTCCGTCTTTAATATTATTTGATAAAGAATATATGGAATGTTCGAGAAAAATCAAAACAATTCATGATGCCTTGCCATGCTTAACGCAAGGAATTCATTTCGAATTTAAACAAATGATATTCATTCATTTCTTCTTCTTCTTCTTATTCTTTGTTTATCCTTCTTACCCATACTGTACCTGTATTGATCCTTTCCAAATCGAATGCATTGACAAACAAGTTACGACGTCCAAGTGCTTTTACAACAAAAAGAGAATTTTTTTTCTTTCTTTCTTCTTCCTCGTCTTCTTAGTTTTTTTTTTTTTTTTTTTTTTTTTTTTTACTATTATTCGATAACTCTATAGTCAGTCAACTTTGGAAATGTAACACCCGGACGTTTATTTTGCTTCCAATGATTTCATATATATCTTGGCAAAAATTCAATATTGTGATTTCGAATTGTACACAGTCTCAGCATCAGTGTTATCCGACTGAGCGGCCGAGTAGGCAACAGTCTCAATTCGCAACTCAGTGGTCGTGGATTCACATCTCAAACCGAAAGCGTTAGATGCCAGTGTTTTAAGACTTTGGTCTTCGAGTCTATTCTCTGGGTAAACTTATAATAATGAAGTTAAGGCTGGATTATTTTTGCAGAGTCGACACCGATCAAAACTCGAAATAGTTGGTATAGTTGATCTTACATGCGCTTCTGCCCATTTTCTCTATTTTCAAGCATTTGCTTTCAGAAAATTTCATCGATTAATACAAATGAAATTCTAAAAAAAAAAATCGAGATCTTGTATTATTAATATTTCCAATTCATTAACTTGAAAATGTTTTGATGATGGTTCCTGTTTTTTCTACTTATTGCTCCTTCAAGTCAGTTTGGCTCCATTTGATTAATTCTAGTCTAGTTAACCCGTAGCGCAACCAAGTTTTACATATATCGCTGAAAATTAATCTCTAATCACATGATTCTTATGATTTGTATTCGGTGTTCTTGAGCTAAACGGTTTCATTGCTTGAACAGCAGTTGGGTTTTTTTTTCCTTGAATGTGGGAAAAATTTCGAAAACTTCTTTGCTAATTGTAATGGAAGGCAATTATCTCACGAAAATTTCCAGTATATAGGATAACGAATCTCTTTTCTCTTATTTTTTATTCGAGGTGTGTCAGAAAAAAATGAAGAACGCGAACGCGAAATAGAAAGAGATAGAAACTTACCCCCATCGATTTACCGACTGAGTATCTCACTGTAACTACGGTCAAAAGAAACTCTACTCGTCTAAGATTGGATCCCGTTATCGCTGACGTGATAATCGCGACTCTTAACTCAAATAATAACAACGCAAACGCAATCGATGTCGCAGACTCAATTAAGTTGACTTGAATTTTTCCATTGCTTACGAATATGAATTGTTTTTTTTTTTTGTTTTTTTTTTTTTGAGTTACCGCCGTTCCTTCACCGTTCAGGCTATTGCAAACGAAAAGGCAGATTTAGTATACCTTCGCATTTGTAATGCCGTGATAATGAAAATCACAAAATTAATAAACAAAATATATATATACATATATACATATATATATATATATATATGTATATGTATATATATATATAATTATATAGCATTTAGGAATCATCGCAGCCTTTGAAAGCCGTTTCTTTTTCTCTATCGTCTTAAAATACAATTCGATAAGAATGATTTGCAAATTTTTTTTTTTTTGTTATTTGTTTCTTATTATTTTATTTTTAGTTTAATTGCATTTCTTTAATTGCTTCTGTATACTTTGCATTAAAATCACAAAAATATGTATGTTTAATAAATAAACGCACAGACGCAAAGATAAAGGCGTGAGTGCTTAACCAATCATATGCGTGCAGTGTGTACGGGGTAGCCCTGAACAAGTTACAAGTTGTTGAAGAAAGAAAAATTAACAAAATTGCAATTACATGATGAAAAGACGAAAGTGTAAAGCATTTCGCGATAATCATAAGGAAAACCACGTTTGCGTTATGAAAAAAAAAAAAAAAAAAAAATTAATAAATAAATAAATAAGTAAACAAATAAAATATTTAAAAAAAGTAAAAACACTACAATCGGTCGCCACGCCATCCTACAGTCATTTTATACGACAACTTTTCAAACTAAGGCGTCGTATGGAAAATGCTTGGAAAAGTAATCAGAACCAAATAGTGATCGTACTTGGGCCGAACAACGCCATATCGTGTATCGAATATGAGCAAAATATCTCAGAAGGTGCGTTAAACATAACGAATCAAGACGAATAGATGGACGGACGGACGGACATGGTTAAATCAAATTCACAAAGTGATTTTGAATGAAAGACATGATTGTGGCAGGTCCTTCTGCGTGTTGCATACATCCGCACAAACTTAATATGCCCTTGTATCAGATATGGTGTAGGGTATAACAAGTATGCATATATAGATTTTTAAAATGACTCAAAGTTTAGGTTACTGTGTTACTACTGTTGAAACTTTGATTTCAATTCAATTTAATTCAATTCAAACGTGACTTGTATAAGCAAATTACAAAACATTATAAACAAAAAGAAACCAATAAACAAATTGACAAATTTAAAATGGCATTGAGACAAGTTAGCTATAGTTACTTCGTTTTCTGCCTACATTACGAATTTGACCTTAACGAAGGTCGGGCTTATTTCGCTAATAATTTTATGTAGATCCATTTATTCTTATAAAACGGTCAATGCGTTCACTTAACGTCACAGTTACATGTTTTATCGTTTAACGCATATTACATAATCCATAAACATGTTTGAATATATTTTATTTGTTTTATTGGCTATTGCGGCTTGCGTAACCGCCAAACCTGGAATAATTGCCCCAGTTGCATATACAAAATCGTCAATAGCGGTTGCTCCGTTGATTATCAGCACTATTCTGTCACTTGAATATTTCTACTTAACTTCTCATTACACTGCCGTTGCTGTTTCGACACCGTACACGGTACAATATCTGGCTAATCCTTATGCGGCTACTAATCCTTATACAGCCGCTTATCCCTCTACATTTCTAATAAAAAAGTAATTTTCAAATTTTCGAAAAATTAATACTTAAACCTCTAGTCGATACGAAACCCTTAAAATTGTTTTAATGTTTTAATGTCTTCAAAAACTGAATAAAATTATTTTTTAAAAACATTGAATTTTTCATTGCTATTATAATTTTTAATAGGGCTCCTAAAAGTATATTAGATATTCTTAAAAATAAACTGTTTACATTTATATTCCTAAAGACCTCTTGCATACTATTTTATATGGCTTATTGTATCGCATACGCGATTTGTTGCACGGTTTTCCTAATGCAATTTTATATTTATTTTTAAGTTTATAACAATCGGAAGATAGTCCCTGTAGTCATAAGATAACTCAGACGGTGTTTATAGTCTTCATTAGCACACAAAAGTTTTCAGATGATTTTGCCACTTTCCGTCCGTGGAACTGCATATCTGTCGTCCATTGCTGGAACACTGACGGCGTATACATATTTACGTCACGTCTTAACATGGGCGTGACCCACTCACAACCCACTCTCTACTACATGTGCATAAAGATTCATTAGGCGGGTATAAATACGTCTACGATAAAAAATATTGAAACTCACACTTATTGATGTAATGATGAGAAATATTTCTTAAGCTTTTCAGAGCGTCAAAAGAGCGTTTTATAACTATAATGTATTGCTTTTAGGTGTTATATATATATATATATATATATATATATATATATATATAACATACACATAACATATATATAACATATATATAACATATAGATATGTATATGAACTATTTGCTCTAAAGCATTTTTTTTTTTGTGCTTACTATTTTAGGTTTTCCAAATTTTTTTTTTTTTATTTCTTTATGAAGGATACACAACATTTGTCATTCGTTTTGTAACATTTAAATAAATACATCAAACTTCGCCTGCACTATAAAACTTCTTTAGGCATTATTCAACTAACATATATGAAATAAGAAGTAAGCAAAACATTACAATGGAAATAATACATGAGTTTATGCAATGACTCGTATTTATGAAACAATTTTTTACAATATCCTGCAATACCTTCCGGGAAAATAAGCCAATTGGAAAGCTTCCTACAAATCTTCCTGCTCTCAATTTAAGCGGCTATAGATAAAAGTATTTGAATAGTATTAGCTGTGTAAACTCAATATCAATAGATACGGCACATACATATATATATATATATATCCAATATTTTATAACTCAATGTGGTAATGAAAAAAAAAAAAAAAAAAACAAGTTTTTATGCTTTATTTAGCAAACAGTTTATTAATTTATTAAATTATTATAAAATTTTAATTTAACGAATATTTAGTAAAAACTAGTATAAAATAATGACAAAGAAAGAAATTTCGCAAATATCATTTATTAAACCGAAGTGCTACAAAATATAAGCCATTAGCGTGGAATTTAATCAGAAATTTCAAGAAAAAATTATTAGACTTGTATTCAAGATTAACATCCCACTGATAGGCGATAACGCTTTCTAGCGGCATTAAAATGCTAATTAATTAATTTCAACAGTAGAAAAGCTTATAATTAAAGAGCTTTTAAGTCTTCTTTATGAATTTCGCATTAAATATTTTAATTTCATTATGCGTTATAATAATAAAGATAATAGAAAGAGTACACAAAATTATGTTGAAACAGTAGCTCACTTAAGCCTAAAAACCCTCTGACACTTATGAGGATCTATATAAAGAAAAATTCTCAC